ATTTATTTATATAGAAAGAATTCATGTAGGTGGCACTCATGTGACTCATACGTCAATTTCTCACATGACAATTAGGGCACACCAATGCATGATGAGTGCCATGATTGGTGAGCAAACTTAATTATTATAAAAACATGTATTTTTCAGAAAGAAAAAAGTATGGACTTGTGGGCACGGAAACAGCTTTATGCTCCCTCAGCTGAGTCTGGGGTCTTGACTAATGCTTTATCTATGTGAATGAATGATTTCATGTAAACCAGAAGCACGCAATATTAATTATTGAAATCTTGGAATAGTTGGCTGCTTTATTTATCCAATAAGGGACTTGGGTTCTGATCTTTTACTTGGCAACTTTGTTCTGCATTTTTAGTGGCCTATTCATATGCGTCAAGATCACGTTTGATGATCCAATCATAGAATCCTTCTACATCATCGACACCCACCAAACTTATCAAACACCCTGTCAAGCATTTTAATCAGTATCTAGGAATTGCATTCGTTTTCTTTCTCCTCAAGAGTTAATTGTTGTCCTCCCTGAGAAGAACACATAAATTTCAGCTGAATAAGTAGATTAATTAGATGAACAAAGACAGATAAGTGAGCCTTGAACAAAGGATTGAGTGTTGAGAAAACAAATTCCAAAACCGAAAAAAACCATCATATTTGTTTTCTTGTTCATCCAAACTCATCCCAAGGCCAAAACCAGCCCAAAGTTACCAACAACAGTGAAAACTTCCATTGGCATGCATGGCAGGCCCAAAGACATCTATGCCACAAAGAAAAAGCAAACAAAAGGCTTGTAATGCAACACTTGTTTACCATATCTCCTTGGCCACAAACAAAAACACAATTGTAGTAAATTAAGAGGGGGGCCTGGGCTACCTGGCTTTGGGCAAAAGAAACATCCAACCCAAGGCTCGGAGGACTTGTCTTCTTCGTTTCTGATAAGCAACTTCTGGCTCTGTTCTGTGTCCGGGTCTTTACTTTAGGCAGGTGAATTCTGCAGGAGGTACGATTGATACACATCAAGCCACGTGTCCCGAAGATCTTTTTCTTGCCCTTCTTCTCATACGTTTCTGTCTGTGACTCTGTCGAATTAAAGAAGGAACTGACCCCCAATTTTATATCCATTTTTTTACAATTTTGTTTTTACTTCTCAATATGCCAATTCTGTGTTCAGTTCACTGCTTACTGCAGATCTTTCTTTCTTCCGCTCTCTTCCTCAACAGTTTTATCTCATTGGTTCTTTCATAATTCCTAATTATGATTTTATCATAAATTCCACATTGGTTTATTGTAGCCATGAGCCAACTGTCATTAATTATCTCATTAGGGATACCAACTGTTATTAGCAACTATTATTTCTCTTTGTAAATCCAATTCTAGTACGCACAACACCGTAGTATGGTAGTGTAGTGAAATGCTAACGAGGATTGATTGAGTTGGTAAGGATTATTCTCTTAGTCATTTAAGTCTAAGTTCAAGTCCTACTAACGACAGTTTTTTTTTGGTAAGTAATCTATAAAAGTTAAAAATGAAGTTAAAAATCCCTATGTAAGTTCTTAAAAAATTTGCTTATTGCTATATATTCACTACAAGTTAATAGTTAATATATTTATAACCACTGAGTCATGTTCCAGTGTACCACACTCAATTACCTGTGGAGTGGCCATGGTGTACAGTCCCATACTGATTAGACATCACACTTGTCTCTTTGCTTCACATTCACATGCACATGCACTGCACAGTTGTGACAAAAACAATTGCCATTGCCATGGAAATAATGAATGACAACATGCGGCGCTTCTTAAGAATCCAAGGAAAAATTATGAGCCAGGCACAGATCACGAGACAGTTATCACATGAACCTTAAGATAATGTACAAAAATTTGGACTAAACTCAATAAATTAGATATCGATGTGCTAGTATACTCTTTGCTAGATCTCCTTCTACTTGTTTTTTTGGAAAATATATATTTCCTTTTACTTTTTGTCCTCCTACCTCATATTGCATTTGTGTCAAGAGTTGGAGACCCTACCTGCAATGCAATAATAAATACATTTCATTGACCCCCAAAGCTCCCAACCTTGAGTATTTTCATCAAGAACCCCTGACCAGTCCTTTCCCTCTGCTGCTTTTTATAGCAATCAAATTATGACCACCACCCACCATCGTAAAGCATGGTCTGTGACCTCAATTCCGGCAACAATGACCAGCCCAAACCCCACAATGCCTCTTCCAATTTGATTAAAGCCTACAGCGGCAGCAGCAGCAACACTCACTCACAGCCCACAAGCAGCTACTAGCTACTAGCTTCTCATTAGCAAATCTTGTTTGAAAGTTTGAAACTTTTGACAATCAAATGGGTTGCTGTATGAGCACCACTACCACTGAAAAGTCCTCAGCTTTAGGTCCTCAAAAGCTGCAGCATTCTTTGGTGGGCACTCAAGGACCAAGATCTGATGATGCCCATGACAGCAGAGCACCACCTCCAGTAGATGAAGAGACTGTGAAAGAAGTGCTTTCTGAGACTCCAAGGCCCAAACCAACACCATCTTCACCACCACCGCCACTCATGCCTTTCACAAAGCTCCAAGAACACGAGCCAGAAGATCAAGATCAAGAAAAGAGAGCCCAAGAACCAGTCTTTGAGAAGAAAATCAAGCAAGAAGACCCAGAAAAGATTGAGGAGAAAATACCCATTTACAACAACAATGGAGAGATCTCAGAGGTATCGGAGATTTGCAGCTTGAGTGAGAGCATGTCCACCACCACCATTACCAGAGACGACGATGAAGAGGTCCATCAAAGGGTCAACAGGTCTCCGATGAGAATACCAAAGAACCGGGACCCAATAGGCCAGAGGAGAGACCGGGTCGTGGGTAAGTCTCCGACCCGGAGAACTGAGTCGTCGCCGAGTCGGAAATATGGGCCAAATGGTAATAATGGCGCTGGGTCAGTGAGATTGGTTCAGAGCAGAGAACCGGGTCCCGGTCAACAGCCACTGTCCCGGCGTGGGTCGAGGGCCGAGTCGAACCGGTGTGGGTCGAGGGCCGAGTCGAACCGGCGTGATCCGGGTGAGAGTTCGGGGCGGAGGTCCAGGTCACCGGCTACAAGGGTTATGGATGGTGGCGGGGCTAATAGAGCGAATGTGGGTCGGAGCCCGTCTGCCAGGAGATCCGGGAGGTATCCGGGTCGGACCGCGGTGGGTCAAGTTGAGAGTTCGGGTTCAACCCGGAGAGTTGCAGAGGAGCCTATGACGGAGGAGGGTAAGTGGCCCGCCAATGAGTCTATTGACAACCCACTTGTTTCTTTGGAATGCTTTATTTTTCTATGAATTTGGGAAATTAAAATGTAACTGTGACCTGAATCACTGAATCCGGAGCCCCATCTTCTTCTTTCTTTGTTTTTTTGGCTTAGAACTCAGTCAGAAGCTAAGAACTCAACTTGGATTTTCTGGGATGTTTAGATTATGTAAATAATGGTTATGTCAAAGGTCAATATGGGAATTTGGGGTACGATCTTGCAATGTGAAGCAAGTTCCTGACAGGAAATTTTATTAGGTAACAATGCCACTGGTGTCACAGTTTGTAATTGTACGGATAGTTGGATACGTCATCTGCCATTAATTGTGGTCTTCTTAGTTGGATATATTTACCTTTCTTGTACTAGTTAGTCTGTGTAAAAGATGATACCTTTGCTTTGCTGAGAGAGTATTGCCCGCTTTTCTTGCACCAAAAATATTTGCCAAACTTTACATGTTGCCGTTCTGAAAGATTGATGAAACTTCACAGCATAACCTAGTGAGAACAGAACAGAATCTGCAATTATAATTTACAATTTGTGCTGCACTGCCTGTCAATAGAATAATCCAAGCAAGTGTTTAACTTGTTATAGAAGGCGGGTTTCCTTTCAATGATTTTGAGGGGCATTGTAATTTGTAGTTTCTACTTTAACTTTGATTTGTTCCTCCCTCCTATGACCCGCCCTTGTTCACAACCAACCAGACAAAGCATTAACATTTGCAACTCATTCTCGCACTTTAGCCACATCTGTTTGGTTGGGGCAGCAAACCCAATAATAACAATTATAATACAAAAAGAACAAGGGGATTTGGATCAAATGGGTTATTCAGAACTTTACTGATGAAGATTGATGAGAAATGAGGAATTTGGAAGTTGAAACTTGGACTAGGAGTAGGAGGGAGGGAGGGAAACTGATTTATTTTTGTAGCCGTTGGGGTAAGTAAGACAATTTGATTTGATAATAGACAGTGGTGGTCCCAATCCTAAGTTTATTTATTCTTTCATACACTCACATTGTGCCGTTGCTTTGCTGGTTTTGGTTTCATTCATGGATTTGGTGGCCTATTTCTCCAATATCAACTATTTTGGACTGTTTCTTAAACTTTCTGTGGTGTGCTTTTCATGCTGAGAGACTATACAACTCACTTTTTAATCCAATAATATAAATATGCGAAATTGGATAGTCAGACTCAGAGGAGGCATTTCTTCTGAGGGTTTTCAAAGTTTAAAATTTAAGCCCGAAGGAAGGTACCATCCAAGTGCATTATTGTTGAGGAAGATTATGAAATTTTGGCTTCTGAGGATTTCTAGCAAATCGTGGGTCTTCATATAAAGGAGAGTAACCCATAATTTTAAAGCTGAAATGGGTCAAAATTGGGCATGAGAAAGCAAACTGCTGCACTAAAAGATTGGGCCTAAAGTTGTATCATAGTCTAAGCCAACCTTTTTTGCCCAACTTGTGTCTCTGCCCAAAAAAAAAAATCTCTACCAATGATTTAAGGGAGCTTCTACAATGAGGAGTTAAAGTGAGAGGTTATTTGAGGAGACTGATCCGACCGTCAAAACATTTAAAATATTTAAGTCCCATGATTTCTTTACATTTGTTGATGGTGAGATTTAACCCCCTCAAATAACCTCCTCACTTTAAGCCCTCATTACAGCCTTTCCGATTATTTAAACTCTTGCAAGAAATGTTACAAGTTTAAAAAAATTCATTGTTTTTTGTTGGTGATACATGAAATCTTATCTTTCTTTTAGGATAACCTAAGTAAGAAGGCATAATATTTTGTCAGTTGCCATAAATATATGAGTAACTGGTTGAATAGTCACCTATTACTCAATAGTCAATACCAATCATAAACTGTTTACAATGTACAGAGACACTTATGACTGATCCATTTAATGGGCATTATAATCCATCTTCAAGGATCCAATTCATTTGGAAAATCTGATCATAATGGAAAGTAAAGGGAAAGTGAAGCAAGCTGCTGCATTCAGCTGCAAAAGCGAAATCCCCCTTTCCCAAGTAAATGACATATACAGAATCAGGTGCTCTTGCCTGAAGAAAAATTGGGCAATTGGAGTTGTGGTCTACAAATTCTCGCTTGCATCATCCTAATTTCTGCTTCGTCTCATACTCATAAATAGAATTTGATATGAAAAAACAGGCTTTTCTTGTTTAAGTTGTGTACTTGTCAACTTGAGTTTGAGCTCATGTTCGAATTCGAGTTTGAGTTTGAGTTTGAGTTTGAGGTGGGGTTGGGGTTGGGGTTGGGGTTGGGCAAGGAAATATGTTGATGTTGAGGCAAACAAATGCGTTCTGGGGGGCAAGGCACAGGGGCTGGATGTGCAATGAAGGTGGGGATATCATCTCCAGGCATCAACACTGAAACTCCACTTGCATACACAGTCATCTGCATAAATAGACAAAATGAAAAACCGATAAGCTAGAACTTCAGAAGTACAATAACTTGAAGTTGGCTTGAAAAGAGAATCAGAATTGACAATGTATCAAAACACTATCCAAATTTCGAGGAAAATTGCATAAATAAATTATGCTTAGTCAAGCCTTTTCCAGCAAAACAAATCAATTTCCACATCAAGTTGTTGCTACATCACACACCAAACTAATGAAAAATCTCTAGTTGCAAAATGCTATGACTCTGTTTTACAATGCCTAGTGAGCTAAAAACCAGTTTTTGCACAACCCATCTCTGGTTATATGCTGAAGAGTATATATACTGGTCAAGGACAGGAAAGAAACAATATGAACAAGAGGAAAAATTAAAGCTCCTTGCTTTGTCAAGAAAAACTTGTCAAGAATCCACAATCTCATGGATGTAGGCTCGATCCAAGACAGACATTTCAAAATGACAAACAAGTGACAGTCATGATCCACCCGAAAATAATTAAATAAACAGGATCAACAAAAGCACCAATGACAATGGTTCATAAAAACATTGTGAGATCAAACACCAAGGTTAGTTTTCTACTGCCAATGCTGTTATGTTTGCTTTCATTGAGTCATAACTTTTTGCACATGCTAAGGTGACCAATCCAATTATTTAAATAATCAAAAAATTGCATCAAGGATATAGTGTGAACAAGATGCCTGAATGACATGGATAACCTGGATAGTGCACATTGCTCTGGCAACAAATGATATATGTAAATCAATAAACAGCAAATCCCCAACAATAAACAGCACTTTTGAAACCCGATCACATGCCTGTGTTTGATGATGGTCTTCCTCTTCTACTACCTTTACTTTTCCAACTAATTAGATAATGTTGCAATGTCATCCTAACTACGAGCATATGCATTTGACCTTTTGCTTTCTAAAATAAAATTAGTGGATGCTGATAAAACAATAGTTAATAAGGATTTAGTCTGCTGTACTTAATTTGAGCCTGTTTTATTTCAACATTACTGTCAAGGCTTATAAGTTTCTACAATCACACACTTGGCAACCTCAAACTTCCTGATACATGAACTGAACAGCATGTGCCCAACAAATTCAAGACAATTTCCGAACACAATCGGCCTGTAATGTTCATAGATTTATGTTTCACTGACATTTATATACTAGCAAAACACCTCACAGAGTCGACAGAACCTTATTTTTATCAATTTGTTTGATTTTCTACCCACCTATAGCAGGAGAAAACCTTTTATTTTTTAGCATAACCATGTAAGTAGGAACCCTTTGTTCGAAGATTTAAGCAAGTTAATCTGATTCAGATGGAAAATTTTCAATAATGATAAAACCTTACAGAAGCATGCAACAACAACATATAAATAGCTTTATTCCATTTGTTTCCTAGTTTAGTGAAGCTAGTTGGATGCACGATTAAAAGCTATACAATATATAAAAAAGACAATAAACTAAGACTTGCTCAGAACGAAAAGTTGACCACCTGTCTCCGGCCTGGGGCTCAAAGCCATGCTATCATAAAAGATTGCCAGTGATGGTTCTGATGAACACCACACACAGTGGTGGGTCTAAACACCTAGTACGTACAATCCCGAGTCACTTTGCTTGGGACCAAGCACCAACCACTAAACACACAACTACTTAGATGGGCCCTTGCCCACAGACCACTGTATTAATTACAAGAAAGCAAAGTTCTTGGGAACTCATGGAAAATTCAAATCGAATAAACTCAGAAACACCAAATGATGTGTAAAACTGTAATTTAGTAAGAAGAGAAAGAACAGCATGATGGTCTGTATGGCCAGTACAAGAACATGGGAGTGGGAAGGTCTAACAATGAAACTGGAACTGAATCCATTGTTCACATAATAAGTAGCTATTTGGTGACTTAAAAGAGGAACATAAAAACTAATAAAACAGGGAAAGACAAAAACTCGATTTGAGAGGTTCAAGGAAACTTCACAGTAAAACCAAAAGAGGGGGTGGGGGAAGACATTGAGGACTTCAAATAGAAGCTGGAGTGTGCAAGAGATCTAATGTTGCATTCTTCAGAAGTTGAAAAAAAAAAAAAAAGTGTAATGAGCTAAAACCCTTCAAACTTTTAATTCCATTAGCAACAATGCAGAATTATAAAAAACTTATTGTCAGAGAGATAACCATCACCTTAATATACGCAACAACAAAAATAACCACCTAAAACTGTCAAAGATACTTTCCTAAAATCCATCACCATTTCCAAGTTTGCTTCTTGTAACTAAAAATATTAAAAATTACAACTTTTCCCAGAATCAAACAGAGCCTCACAGGGCTGAAGAAAGACAAACAAGTCATACCAAAATGCAATTCAAAACAAGACCCAGAAAACTTTTTGGAATGTAATCAAAAAGCAAAAGAATTTGGTTTTTGGTGGCTTACTTTGGGTGAAGGGTGGCTGAGTTTTCCATTGAAGCCCAACTGGGCCTCAAGATCTCCGCTTCTCCGGCGACTGGACGGTGTCAAATCAGACGAGGTGGGTCTGAGGAATCTCTCAAAGATAGCCATGACTAAGAACATGGAGATGAGAATGGCAGTGGCTACGAAACCAAACGACACCGCATTGACAGAGCTATTAAAAGCAGGAGGGCTGCCCGGATGCTCATCTCTCTGCATGTTTAGTGGAGCTCCTATTGGCGGCCATTCAAAGCTATGTTCTTTCACAACAACCATTTTCACCTCTCTCACTCTCTCTATATATCTAGGTCCGATTCATTCATACCATGTTAATTTCTACGTAACTTTTCTTCCAAGCGTGTAAGTGTGGATGTAAGAAGCAGAAAGAGAAGCAGAGAGAGGTTTTTGTGGCAACAGTAAAGGCCTTTTCTTTTACACCATTATCAAAGCTTGTTGGAGTACTTAAACTGGTAAGAGAGAGAGAAGCAGGCAGGGCATGTGGGCTATCTTTACAGAGAGGTGAAAAAAATAGGAAGCTATGAAATTTGGATAGCCCCTAGACACAATAATATATATATATATACAATAAATTAATGACCAAAATAATAATAATAATAATAATTTTAAAAAAGGACAAATTGTCAAATAGCCACTGAAGATGACTTTTCAGTTTCTGTATCCAAGAGTGGGATAAATAGATGGGCCTTTTCTTTAGCCTTATTTGTGGAGGTTCCACATGTTTTTAGATTAAACTTTTGTAACATTTCAGCTTCACAAATTGCACTCATGATCTGTTTTTCCAAAAAGTTAGATGTGTTTTTACTGCAGAAACTTTTCTCATAATTTTGGGCTGCAGTTTTGCATAAGATGGCTTGAAAAAAAGAAATGTTTGCTTTGTTATTTCTTTTCTGTCAAACCAACTTTAAGGTCAATCTCACAATTATGACCAATATTTATCACCTTTTGGTGAGTATTTATAAACCTCTTTTATCTGGAAAGAAGGATTGAGAACACACAACATGCAAAATGGGAAAATCTGAGTTCCTAGCCACAAGATGCAGAGACAGTTTAGGCCCAAGGAATATCTTTTCCTTCCTTTTTTTTCTATATCCAAAGACATGCATACAACATCGATGGCCACAAGGGCCATGCCAGCTCCAAACACATTTTCTCTTTTGTTTTGTTGTTTCTTTCCAGTGAAGGGGACCTGGGGAGGGCAGCCCTGTAGCCTAAGTAACTTACTTGTGCTTGGACTGACTTACTCTCTCTTAATACCACAGGATGTTATTCAATTTACCAAAAATACCATTCTTCCATTGAAGCTGTAGCTTGTTTGATGCTAGCTCAAAGGAGCTGTTAGTGAAATTAGTGGCTGAAACATGGGTATGTATGGTAAATGTGGTATATTATCCAAAGTGATAGTTGCCGTTATATCGAACAGAACACAGAGAGAGAGAGAGAGGGCTAGGGCAACAATTTCCATGGGAATTGGGAAAGTTATGAAACAAAGTAGAGTACCATCTACTTGCTCTCTTTCTCATCTCGAAAAGGGCAACAGGGACCCTATGGCCCCACAGTTAATCTCATTAAGAAATAGAAACTCATGTCCATGAGTACGTGTCGTCCCTAGTCATTAGGCAATTAGCTGCTTCCTTCACCCTCAGTATTCTGTGTGGAACTTATATATAACATATATTAATATCACTCACATTCATATGCTTGCTCGGAGAATGGTAGGGTTACTACTACCGACCGGACGTGTTACTAATTTTTAGCCGTTAATGTATGTGGTAGGCAATAACAATCAGATGTAGTGGTCACTTTTCTACTATGCTTGTTTGAAGAATGGTAGGGTTAGTACCAAATAGACGTGTGACTTATTCATAATCGTTGATGTATGAGTTATTATTAATTGGATGGGTGATTGATTTATAATCATTGATTTTTGTGAAGTTTAATGTGGCATTCACGTTGTTATGATCAAAAATCATCCGCATGTATGTGAATACTGAAAGTAAAGTATCTTTTTTATTTTCGTTCTGATTTGACTATGGGCATCCGAACATGTTATCAGTTCACTATTTTTTTTCCTCACACACTGTAAGAAATCATTGTAGTCAACTTCGTATCGTTTATACAGGATATGAAGGCAAAAAATAGTGAAGTGATACAATATTGTAAGACGGTTGTTGTTCATATTGGCAACTTGAGCACACTGGAGACAGACCCCAGCTTAAAAACCCATCTTAAACCTTCATTAACCACATGCACATGCAATTTGTCGGGGTGTGTGCCTTTGTCTCCCTCCAAACCCATGGTCCCCACTGTTCCATTTCCACGTGGCACACCAATAAACAGCCTATTTGTTGCCACGTGGCGTGAGCTGGACTTGTCCAAAATGAGTGAAAAATAAAATAAAGGCATTAAGAGGGCCAAAGTCGAAATCACTCTGCTTTGATCTCTCGTTTCCCCATGACAAAACCGACATATCAGCTTCCAGTGTCGGGGTTTCCAGGTCCTAACCAGCATGTGGAACATCTTAATCCTCGAGGATTGTTCCCCATGTCAACGACTCAGATTCAATTCCCAAAGATACCAAATCCTGGCCGTCCATTTCATTTCACCGGTATGTCTTTTTTGAAATTAAAAACAAATAATAGTTTAAATTATTATTATATAAATCCATTTCACCGATTCTTTTTTTGGTTGTTGATAGTCAAAACTCAAAGTCACACGGGTCAAACACCATCAGCCTATGCATGATAGGCCAGTAGTACTATAGAGTGAGTGTGAGGTCAGAGTTGCACAATCTCACGCGTGCAAAGGCAGAGAGAGGGTTTATCGTGGCACGTGCGGTGGCGTGTGCAAGTGTAGAAATTTTGCAAAAAGCGCTTTTGTAAGTTTGACGGGGAGTAGGACAGATATTCGGAGTGCATGGAGAGTGTCAGGGGGGGGTGGGGGGCCCACTGCAGGCC